TCTTTCCAATTTTGTATTTCAATTACTGTTATGATACAAGTCACCTTTATTTGAGAATTATTTTCTTTAGTTTGTGGCAAAATGAGAGAACAAAAAACTATAAAAAAGAATTTATGATAGAATGTGAGTTTGATCAATTGACTTATATAATAATAATATATTTTTTTAAAATAATAAATCTCTATCCAAATAAAAGATTCTAAATTATCAAGCTATGGGCGCTACTGTGTTTTTGTATATTCTATTTATAGATTTTAAAGAAATTTTCACAAAAAAAATAAAATATATATATAAAAGAGTTCTTTTTCATCCAAATAAAAAAATGATTTTGAATTAAAATAGAATTATGATAGCTGAGGACTAAATAGAAAATTTGGTTCAGATCTAACCGAAAGAGGAAAGTAGAAAGAAACTAACGCCCTGTTTGGATGGTTACTATTCATATGATATTATATTGTTAGTTTAAATATAATTTTTTTATGTTATTTAAATTTTATTATATATATCATTTAAATTCATTATTAGGTATAAAAAGACTTATTTTATATAATAATCGATTTAATGTTATCATATTATTATCTTGATATTTTCATATCATTTTATCTTTACTTATTATTTAATAATAATATTCCATCTATTATCCTATACTTTTATGATAACTTTACCACATAGCCTATTATTTTGATAAATTTATTACTCAAATTATCAATCACTATAAAAAAGGGTAGAAAGAGAGAGTTGAGAATGCAAATGGCAGAAGAGTGGTCATATTGCATCTCTCTTTCTAGAAAAAAAGATTACGCGACTCTCTATCTATTATTAATACTAATTCTGTAATTAATTAATTCAATACGAGTGATTTGATGTGGCCCCACGTTGGTATCGTATAAGTTGTACATTGAGTGAACAGTAATAGTAGTTGTTATATAAAATAGAACCGAGGAAATAATAATTATTTGAAAAGATTGGTTGAGTCAGAAGAGTATGCCAGTTCAGCAAAAAGTTCACAAAGATATTTTCACATTCCAACCCTAAAAAATAGAAAGGTGATTTTGGTAGTCTTCTCTGTCCATTTCATTTCTGGATATATCTTAGAACAACAATCATCAAGATTCACTAGTACTTTGAATTGTGATAATGAGTCCCGGGGAAAGCCGTCCCTGTGATTTCTGCAATCAGCAGATTGCCGTCCTTTACTGCCGAGCTGATACAGCTAAGCTCTGTCTTTTTTGTGACCAACTTGTTCATTCAGCTAACGCTCTTTCTAAGAAGCATCTTCGTTCTCAGATCTGTGATAATTGTGGCTCTGAACCTGTTTCTATTCGTTGTGATACCGACAAACTTGTACTCTGTCAAGAATGTGATTGGGATGCTCATGGAAGTTGTGCAGTTTCTGGTGCACACGATCGGAGTCCTGTTGAAGGGTTTTCTGGATGTCCTTCTGCTTCTGACCTTGCTTCAGCTTGGGGTTTGGATATTGAGTCAAAAAAACTACATCAGCAGCATACCGTTTTGGAGTATCCTTCTTGGATGTCTAAGGATGCTCCTCCTTCTTCTGTTTTGTTGCAGGATTTAATGGTACCTAGCGCTATTAATTCTGCTATTTACTCCACCAAACAAACTCCAACTTGTGGCAAGCAGAAACAAGTCATATTCAAACAATTAATTGAGCTATTCAAGAGAGATTTGGCTGATGGGGTTGGAGCTGGAGCTGAAGATTTGGTTCCAAAGACACCTAATGCCACTAGTGATTGGCAGGGAAATATTAATGTGTCGATCATGGATGGTGTCACTCAGAAGCCTCAGCAGCAACAGCCGCAAAATGTGCCATTTACCTCTTCGATTATGCCTCATAATCCGAAAGACAGTGACCAAATGGTGGAACGGAATATATTGTGGAGGGGGAATTCATTTGATCAAAACACTCAGGTATTCTTCTACATTTTCACGGTGCTATTCACTCATAGTTGGGACATTTAGCATGGCCCAAAGAAGTGCAATTGTGGCCAGTTCTGTTGTCTCATTACGAATTGTTCTATACATTTTACTATTTTGTTTTAAATGTGGAAAGTGTTATGCAGAGTAGGATAAAACTGCTTTCTTTGCATTGTCTATCGAATTTTAGTTGAACTCGGGATTTCTTCATACTAATAGTGATATGATTGATATAGAGCATTCACATGGATCTGCAAGTATGATGATGCATTGAATTGAGAAAGAAGAGATTATAAGCCTATTTCATCATTGTGTTTAGTGACGTTCGAGTACATTTGAGATGTCCAAGAAACTTGTGATAGCTTGATTTGTTTCCAGTGCACATCTAAAAAGTAGAGGTGACTTCCATCATATTGGAATGTTGGGGATAGTGGGTTGGAGGTTGGAAACACAAGTTTTTTGTACTAACGGATGTAGTTATGTCAAATATGTACAGGCAGCATGCCTAATTTCCTTTTCTGACTAGTTTTTCAGATTGTGAGTTGGTAATATTCTAGATCTACAAATAGAGAAAAGGTACATAATACTATGGTGTTGAATTTTAATAATACTCAAGTGTTAAGAAAATTTTCTATTTCCATTTTAGGAGAATGATATTGAGAACTATCTTTTAGCTGTTAAAATCAATTATTCCACTTTAATCTTCTCTTGCAAAAAGTATTTGGATTTTACAAACCTGCAACAATATTAAAGAGTAACAATTAGTGTCGGAGAATTATGCTTTTGAATTTTTGAACTAGAAAAACTTAGAAGGAAGAGATTTACTTCATCTTGTACCATCTTTACGTACCTGAAAAGGTACAAGCTTCATTCCTCTGCAACATCTTTGATCCAGTTCTGGCAATTGTTCTGATTGTGTACATTGCCTTTTGTATTTGTTTCTTCAGATATGGGATTTTAATCTGGGGCAGTTGAGGAGCCATGAACAGTCTAGCTCATTGGAAGCAGATTACAGTGAGAGCGACATGGCGTGCATGATGAAAAGCTATGGTGAACTCATAAAAGGAACATCATTAGCAACTTCAAAAGTATTAGGACTCTCAGGCATTAACTGCTCCGTTGTCCATGATGATATGACAGCCTTCAGTGTAAGCTCTAGCCACGCGTTAATTTTGATTTTCTTTTTTCGTTTGGTTGAACTCAATATGCATAGTTTTAATCCCATAAATCAATGATTGTGGCATTAATTCTTCGCACTTGTACTTGTAAGTGACATCAGAAACTTCTTTTACCAACTTCACATTTCTTTTGTTCAGTTTTGGAGGAATATTGAGGATTCCTTTGTGTGTTGAGGAATCGGATATATATATATATGTATTAGCTTCACAAATTCTAAATTCCAGCAAAGGGATGATGCACAAGTAATAATGCTGTGCCTTTAACCTGAATATGAGCATACCAATTGTAATAAACTCTTAAATTCTCTGGTCAGCACCTTCATGAATCGATGACAATTGGAGGTTCCATCAAGTAAACTGCCAATAAGCTGACACTTTAAAATGTATGATACAATGATGTCTTCCTCCTGAACCCGAAAAATTAACTTGCTTATCGCCTTGCAGAATAATTCGAATAACCGAGCAGCAAGCCAGGGGCCAGCGACATCTGAGAGCAACAATTTACCAAGAATAAAGACTTCATCTGACTTAGGTTGTGTAAAGCCGAAATGCGGTGGAGTATCTACAGATCTCAACTTCATGGACCAAAGCATTGTTGTGGGAGGTGACAACACTGGTGAAGAAACACTTAAGGCTGATATGGAGCTTCTGGCAAAGAACAGAGGAAATGCAATGCAACGTTATAAGGAGAAAAAGAAAACACGAAGGTAGGTTATCTCTTTTAGTTTTCCTTTCAGCATAGTTATCCCTAGTTGCCTCTGAGTTTGTCCCTATATCCTGGCTTTGTTGCATCTCTGAGTCCATGGTTTGTGATGCCAGATATGATAAGCACATTCGATATGAATCGAGGAAGGCCAGAGCCGATACTAGAAAGCGAGTTAAGGGTCGATTTGTGAAGGCTAATGAATCTCCAGATGGCTGAGTACCTGTTGAATGGCTGAGGATGAGGATCTTTTTGTCTCTGTGTGTATATATTTCTTAGTCTACCTCATATTTGTAAACTTAGGTTTGCTTTGATGCTATCTGTGGCACCAATTGTTAGTTAATATTCTAGTCACGCGTTTTGCTTCTGGTTATATATTAAGTGCTTGCACATACAACCTTGATCATCAATTAGGTTTGTGGCTAGATCCCTCACCGGGGAGCCAGCTTTTTGAGATAAGTCTTGGAAGTGGATAGTGTAGGTACAATCAATTCACTCTCCCTCTGGCAATACATGTCACTTAATGTCTTTTTTAGTGACATACGTTCACTCTATCGAGATCCAAGTGATTCACTCTATCGAGATCCAAGTGATCAATTTCTTGCTGACTTTAGCTGCTAATAAACACAGTTTAAAATCCCTTCAACACCTGTTAGTTCCCCTCTTCATTTCCTTTATGTTTCCTTTCCTCCAACATTTCTGGAAAGCTGATGTTAAGTAGTTATTTTACATGCTGATAAGTTGATACTGTTGTAACCAATTGTTTTCTTGTACGATATTGTATTATGTTTGGTGTCAAGACTGGAGTATCTTGCATTTATGTTACTCAAATTTTATCTTTATCTTCAAAGCAAGACTCAAATTGGTCATGGTGAAAGACCAATAACCGGAAAGGAATAGAGAAAACGATGAGGAAACATAACCGAAGTAGATTTATTTATCAAAGCCGGGAAATTCCTTGGATCTTGTCTTCAAACCAAACGACCCTAAGAGTTTCTGTATGTCAACTGGATGTGATTAATCATTGAGTATTGGTGCAAATAGATTAAAGAAAATTTTGTTATGTGATGGACGGTTCTCATTTAATGATGTAGAAAGGGTTGATATCATGCCTTATATAACTTTATCCTGAGAGGTCTTGTGAAGGCTAAGCTGTTTTATCATGTGAATGCTTTTAAGGCTTAGAAAACAACCAAACACCGCTCCCTATTTACTTGAGTCACGCCTTGCATTACATGTCTTTCTTTATGAACTAAACTACTTCTACTTATGTTTATGTTCTCATTCATTCATTTCAAAATCCCTTAGCTTGGTGAATCATGAAAGACTTATCTTTCTTTCAGTTGAAAAATGTTATGGGAGCTAAGATGAAGAAAGGCTTTAAAAGCTTCTGTAATAACGACACGTCTACTTCCACTCTCATTTATCAAACCACAGCCTCTGCTCGTCCTGCACTTTCATCTCCTAATTACACCATGGATACAAGGGGAGGAAGCCAGACAACATTGGAGGAGATGTTGCTCCAATTAGACATGGAGGAGAAAATGGCAAAGCTGAACCAATATGGGCCGCATGTCCAACACAGAATGTCATGTGTCAATAGTTCTGACATACTAAGAACAGCTAGGAACGCCGCGTTAAATCAGTATCCCCGATTCTCTCTTGATGGCAAAGATGCCATGTATAGGTCTTCTTTCCGTGACATGTCTCCTTTACTAAACACTGCAAGAAATTGCAACCGCAAAATGGACATGAAAAGTAGTGAAACTCAAAACATGCCCTCGACAATAGCAGGAGAGAGAGTGATTTGGTGTAAACCAGGAGTAGTAGCAAAGCTAATGGGACTTGAGGCCATGCCAATTTCAATGTCAGTGCACAGAAAGCATAATAAGGATAGAATCATGAGTGCAGTTGTCAAAAGGCAAAGCCTGAGGAGAAGAGCAGAAAGGTACGAGATGGAGAAAAAGAGATCATCAAGAGGAACGGTGACGGGATGTGGTGGACGCAACTCGATAGAGATGAATCAGAGCTCTTGTTCAAGAAATGGCTATTGTGTTATGAAGCCTGTGGCGATGGACCTTCAAGAAGTAGGCTGGCCAATGCGGGGCGCGGTTTTGTATAGAAATAACGATGCCATGTAAGATAAAAATGTCAAAAATATATACAAGATCATAGTAGCCTTTCTGTGTGTCAAGTTGATTCATCGTCTCTTTATATTTTTCTAGATAATT